AAAAGATGGGAGAATGAGCTGAACAAACCACTCTCTAAAGATGACATACGAATAGCCAAAAGGCATGTGAAAAAATGCTCAACATCCCTCATTGTAAGGAAAATGCAGATCAAAACAACAATGAGATACCACATAACCCCAGTCAGAATGACTAAGATAAAAAAAATGTTAAGTGCTGGCAGAGGTGTGGTGAAAGGGGAACTCTCTTACACTGCTGGTGGGAATGTAAATTGGTCCATCCACTGTAGAGAACAATTTGGAGATTCCTCAGAAATCTACAAATAGAACTACCATATGATCCAGCAATCTCACTCCTTAGTATCTACCCAAAGGACAGAAGAATTCCTCATTGGAAAAGTGCTTGCATATCAATGTTTATTGCAGCACTATTCACAATTGCTAAGTCAAGGAACCAACCCATATGCCCCCAAACTGATGAATGGATAGAAAAACTGTGGCACATATACTCTATGTAATACTATTCAGCCATAAAAAAACAACAAAACCTCAACTTTTGACAGGAAGTTGATGAATATGGAAGATTTACTGCTGAGTGAAGAAAGTCAGGCTTTGAAGGAGAGACATTGTATGTCTCCATTTAATATATACTGAGTGTCTGCACTTTATGACTGAAATGGATTGACTAAAGGATATAGAAACACAGTATATAGATATAAATACCAGATACGGTGTGTAAGAGGAGGGTCTGAGGAAGGACATTTAGAAGAAAAATAGGGAGGCAATGCATTAATGGGACAAAGACATGTGGTATTATCTGTAGAAGACACTTTTATAGTTTTATCAACTGGACTAGGGAGAAATGTTCACATGTTGAAATATTCGATTTGTAAGCTAAATAATGTCATTGAATGTAAAAGAGATAATGAAATTTAAAAAGTTAAAAAAAATACATAACAAAAAATAAAAATAATAAATAAAGTTTTAAAAGTGAAAACATCCCAATTTTCAAAGATTGGTGGTTGAGTATGGGAAGCATATGATTTATCTTTAGTATTCTCACTAATGGGAAGGTAAGGGAATGAAAAAAAAGTGATATTCATCCACCAATCACATGTCTTCCACATACTCAGCTAGTCTGGAAAGCCTATCAGTTGTTGAACAGATATAAGCATGGTCCACTATCTAGTGGACCAGGTCTAGAGCATTCCCACAGGCCTAGCTGTAGCATTTTAATCAAAAGTATGAAAGTTTTTGATAGGCTTTCTTCTAAGATAATCATGGTAATAATTTTTAAAAGTGGAGACATGTTTGGAGATCAAGAAGAACAAGATGAACAAATATACTATTACAAAGAGAGGTAAACAGTGTGAAATTGTAGGCAATTCATCAAGGAAAAAATACAAATGGCTAATAAACCTATTTTAAAAAGGCTCAACTCCAAAGAAAAGAAAACCAAAAAAATAGTCTTATTTTCTGTAACTTTGTAAGAAGTGTGTAAGAAGTGAACTCTATAGTTAGAAGTCTTCACTTGAAGATATATA